CCCACTGCTCCGGGTGTGTGTTCACAGTGTGTGTGTGTGTGTGTCTGTGTGTTTGTGTGTGTTCACTACTCACTGCTGTGTGTGTGCACTTGGATGGGATAAATGCAGAGCACAAATTCCGGGACACCATACTTGGTCACACGTCACATCACTCACTCATCAAAATACAGTAAATATTTTTTTTATTTTCAGTGTATGCTGAATGGGTGCTCAAGTAATGCTTCTTATTAGAGTTGAAAATAGTTGTATTATAATTAGGGTCAGTGTTGCCATCTTAGTGACTTTGTCGCTAGATTTAACGACTTTTCAGATACATTTAGCGACTTTTTTCCAAAAAAGCACCTAATGAATAATCTAGCGATTTGTTGGACAAACCTTATTTAGTCTCTGAGACTCGCCGGTACTGCCACACGAGCACAAAGTTTTGTTTTCCCGCTGCACACACACCTCTCTGCGTCTGCTCTGTTAAGTGAGTGACTGAGAGGAGCAGCACTTTCAGTTCACATTTACATTTAGTCATTTAGCAGACGCTTTTATCCACAGCGACTTACAAATGAGGACCACTTCTGAAACCAGACTGGTTGCTGTCGAGGAGGTTGTTCTGTGTGAGAAAGGCAACTTGATTCAACTTGATTGAACACAGCTCGTTAAAGTGTTTTTGCAATGAAAGGAAGAAGGGAAACCGGTCTGTAGTTCTCTAAAAGAGATGGGTTAAAGGTGAGTTTCTTAAGTAGAGGGGTTATACGAGCCTGTCTAAATGCTGAGGGAAAAACACCCATGTGAAGGGATGTGTTAATGAAGTGAGTGAGTGCAGGTATAACTGCAGGAGAAATGGCTTGAAGGAGATGAGATGGAATAGGATCAAGCGGACGAGTATTAGGATGATTAGAAAGGATGAGTTTGGAGACTTCTGCCACAGATAGTTCAGAGAAGGATGTGAACCGGTATATGTTTGCTGGTAAGATGTGCTTGACACAGATTGTGGTGTGGAAAATTGTGCACTGATGGTTTTAAATTTTATTAATGAAGAATGTGGCAAAGTCATCAGCTGTTAGAGTTGATGAAGGAGGGGGAGGACAAAGGAGGGAGGAAAATGTTTTAAAGAGCATGCGAGAATTAGAGGAATTGTTAATTTTGTTATGATAGCATGTCCTTTTAGCAGTGGAGACATTAGCGGAGAAGGAAGAGAGGAGTAACTGATACACATTAAGGTCAGTAGGATTTTTTGATTTGCGCCATATCCTTTCAGCAGCCCTGAGCTTAGAACGATATTCGCGGAGAACATCAGACAGCCAAGGGGCAGAAGGGGTGGTACGGGCTGGTCTGGAAGACAAGGGGAAGACAGTGTCTAAACAAGATGTAAGAGTGGAGCAGAAAGTA